CAAGTTTTGGCTAGTTTTGGTAGCAACATTTACTAGCCTAATTCAAATGTATATATATTGTTTATTGTTTGATTAGCCTCCTAATAAATATTATTGAATTGACAAAAGCAAGGAGTGTGGACTTTACACTCGGTTTTTAAGTTATTATTTTTAGTTATTAATTTTATTATTAATTCCATACGTTTACTACAATGTCCTTGCAAGTAAAAAAACACAAAGCAATTTTGGCACATCAAACGGAGAAAAATTACAAACTGTGCATAAAAGGAGGGTGGGGGGGATAAGCCATTTTGATAACTTTCCGTGACACATGTGCCTCATTCTTAGGCTCTATTTAACTTTGCATTACATAGAGTTCAAGGAGGATAGAACCAGCCATTGGGGTACATTGGTGTTGTGGCAGGCTTATGCGATGTATGATCATATAAGGTAAAGAAACACCATTATTTTAACCATAGGTTAGGTGTTTTTAAACAAGCTATTACATTCTATGAGATTGAAATTGATGTTCATTGTATAAGGGAGTCTCTTAGATCTTGTAGATCTTGTATGCTGTATTAATTGACCCAAGCCTTATAATGAATGCTCAGGTTTTGGTTTTATATATATATATTTTATATACTCATACACATATGAGAAAATGTAAAAAAAAAAATTTGGGCCAATCTTAAGAGGAGACCCAGTATTATATATGTTTTTACCTACAAAACCAACCATCATATATAGAGGTGCATCCAATTTATGCAGCAGGTTTACACATAACCACATCAGAAAACAAGGGCGAAACCTTTTTGCATAAAGATGGCTTTTTTGGATGTGGTCTGTGTATAGCCTGCAGGAATACGGGAAATGAAAAGAGACATGTTAAAACTTTTAAAAATCCACAAACAGGCAAAGAATATAAAATAAAAACCTGATCACCTGTTATACCAAAAAAGTAATCTACCTCCTAATGTGCACATGCAATCTTTGCTATGTGGGCAGAACCAAGAGACCACTGTATGTAAGAATTAATGAACATATAATAAATATTAAAAAAGGATATGAGCAACACAGTTTGTCAATGCACTTTAAACAAGTCCATAACTGTGACCCACACTGTATGAAATTATTAGCTATTCAAAAAGTAGAGATGAATTGGAGAGAGGAGGACATTATAAATAAACTAGGCAAAACAGAGATGAGATGGATTTTTAACTTAACCCCTTATGGACCAAACTTCTGGAATAAATTGGAATCATGACATGTCACACATGTCATGTGTCCTTAAGGGGTTAAACACTTTAACCCTGTATGGTCTAAATGCAGACTTTGAATTGTGCCACTTTTGATGAAAATTATACTTTTTTTATCTACCTATTTTCGTTTATTTATAATTTTTAATATTTTAATTCCTCAATTATTTTTAATTTTGATATAGTTAAATTTTTAGATGCACCATAACTGTGACAATCCAGAAATTTGTTCAGGACTAAACAACTTACACCCTGTTCCAAATTATTGTGCAAATTATATTTTTCTCATTTACCTAAAAAATTGATGTGAATAACAGTAAGCATAATTCTCATGTTATCAACTATTAAGAGTACAATTCAAATTTTATTGAACAAACCTTCTAATAATAACAGTATTTTTTTAAGAATAAAAAACTTACAATGCACTGTTCCAAATTATTACGCACAGTAAGTTTCAAAACACTTTATAGGTTGTAAAGAACTGAAAATTGTCATTTGTTGTGTTTGCAGCATATTTACTGAAATCAAAAGATATTTCAATAAAACTTATAACAACATTTTAAATTTTTAAACAGGTCACGTTACATTTTAACATAGGACCCCTTATTTGATAGCAGCTTCACAAGTCTTGCATCCATTGAACTTGTGAGTTTTTGGACAGTTTCTGCTTGAATTTGTTTGCAGGATGTCAGAATAGCCTCCCAGAGCTGCTGTTTGGATGTAAACTGCCTCCCACCCTCATAGATCTTTTGCTTGAGGATGCTCCAAAGGTTCTCAATAGGATTGAGGTCAGGGGAGTATGGAGGCCACACCATGACTTTCTCTCTTTTTATCCCCATAGCAGCCATTGATGCAGAGATATTCTTTGCAGCATGAGATGGTGCATTGTCATGCATGAAGATGATTTTATTACGGAAAGCATAGTTCTTCCTTTTGTACCAGGGAAGAAAGTGGTCAGTCAGAAACTCCACATACTTTGCAGAGGTCATCTTTACACCTTCAGGGACGCTAAAGGGGCCAACCAGCTCTCTTCCCATGATTCAGGCCCAAAACATGACTCCACCACCGCCTTGCTGACGTCGCAGCCTTGTTGGAACAGGGTGGCCGTCCACTAACCATCCACTACTCCATCCATCTGGGCCATCCAGTGTTGCATGGCACTCATCAGTGAACAGGATTGTTTGAAAATTAGTCTTCATGTATTTTTCTGCCCCATGCAGCTGTTTCTGCTTGTCAACATTGGTTAGTGGTAGCCGAATTGAAGGTTTATGCACAGTTGCAAGACTCTAGAGGACTCTACACCTTGATGTCCTTGGAACTCCAGATGCACCAGCAGCTTCAAATATCTGCTTGCTGCTATGTAATGCTATTTAGGTAGCTGCTCTCTTGATCCGATGCATGGATCTGGCAGAAATCTTCCTTAATGTGCCTTTATCTGCACGAACCCGTCTGTGCTCTGAATCAGCCACAAATCTTTTAATAGTGCGATGATCACACTTAAGTTTTCGTGAAATACTCGTCCAAGGCATTAGAACTATTTCACTGTTTTCGGCAGCAGAGAGATCCTTAAAAAAAATATTTCATCTTTGTGACACTTAAATAGAATTTGCATAATCATTTGGAACAGGGTGTTTTTCATTAATTGTATGCTGTAATATTCATAAGCATTTTTTTTTATTTAGGCTGAATTTGAAATTGTCAAAACACCTAAACATAAGATACCTACTATATCTAATTTAGATACATATTTTGGTCATTTACATTGTCTTACACATTTGTTCTATTATAATAAATACTTAGTTTTATGTATTTTTGCATATATTTGAGGGGTAAGTCCCAGTTTTTATATTTATATATATTTTTAGCGCTGCACTTTTTGCACTTTGTGTTTTATGGGATTGTCACCTAAATACTGAGAGTTGTGTTCACTACTTTTTAGTTTGGTAGGTGATTTGGAGCACCCGATAAGTGTTTTCAGCTGCAATATAGTTATTAAAATATTGACAAATCACTAAACAAGCGCCTAGAATCACACTTTTCTGTTTTATATTTAATGGGTTGCATAGCCTTCCTGGAATTTAGTGATAAGTTATATACCTGAGTCTAGAAATGAAGCCTAACTGTGCTTCAGCTACCCCAAGTCATAATGGACATGTCAGCTCTACACGAATTGTAGTGGCAGCTTTGCCTTCATATTATGACAATATGTTTATATAATAAGATATTTAATGTTATACATGATGATGTTTCCACCTTATCTTTATACTGATTTCTGCCACTGATACTTTATCTATTCTCTTTCTGTGTTTCCATGCTAGTTGTCAGGTGTAATAATGTTGAAAGCACGTTTTACTTTCCACTACCCCTTCAAGGATACTATGCATACCCTTTTAAAGAAGTACTAGGCCTGATTTAGCACATGGAAAATGTTAAGGCCACCACAATCGGAGTAAGCCACTTATTCCTGTAATACAACTTTAAATGATTAATTACTGCTTATGGCCCATTAATATAATATTTAAATTTGAGACCATTTGGGCTTTTTCCTAAATGTCACCATCTAGTAGTAATCTGTGAGTGTCAGTTTCCTATTCCTTGTTTAGTCTCTTGTTCTGGTTGCACTAATTAACCAAACTGCTATAACTATTACATGTTACCTGCGAACTGAAAAGATAGGATTATGAAAGAGGGCACAAAATTATACAGTGCACAGAGGCACGGGCAGCGCACATATTTATTGCAGAACTTAAGAGTCGTCATTGCCGTTCTTAAAGGGAAACGCACATATTAACAAATTAAAAGTACAAGTCAACACAAATATGTCTTTTCTTCAGTCAGCATGGACTTTGATAGATTTTCCTTATATAGTTATCCAGTGATCAAGTGCTAACTCATCTTATCATTCCCCACCACTTTGTTAGGCTTATTGAGGGCAATGATGGAGTGCACGCTGTAAGCCTCTTCTCCAGGGGATGGCAATCTTCAGCACTCCAGATGTTGCGGACCACATCTTCCATAATGCTTTTACAGTCTTAATGCTGGCAAAGCATCACATCAGATGTAGTCCACAACATCTGTAGTGCCGAAGCTTGCCTACTCCTGCTCTACTCTTTCCCTAGACCAGACATGCAAACCTAATCGACTGTGGAAAGCATAGGCAAAGAGTTACAACTTTGACTTACACCTCTCTAACTCTGGAATATAAAACTAACCTTGGAATAAAAAATAAAATGGTCCATGTCTATTGAAATATGTTCTTTTCAACAAAAGAATATCTTGACAACTTTTAAGCATTAGGGTGGACCTATTATGCATTGGGGTTGTGTACCTGCTTGAAGCACAGTACATATTGTAAAAGTAGACTGAATAATGGATTTTGTTAAACATGTCAACAGAAATCCTGGAAATGTGTGTCCAACAGTCAGTGAAAAAACTGTAAAGTTTAAACTGAAAAGGTGAAACTCCAACATGGCAAAGTTTAAGCTGATATTCCAACATGGCAATGATCCAAAATATACTACTAAATGAATCATTGTGGAACAGCAGATTGAGGTGGAAAAATGTTCAAGAAAGACAATTAAGTGGCCTCATGAAGTGTTAGGAGATTGGTTATTTTTGTCAGCAGTGTTACTGAATGACTGACGGTGTCTAAATGGTTTCACAGCACATTTTCTGTTTTATTGTATTCAAGCAGTTAAATAGGACACGTGTATTAAAACATGTTGAAATATGTAAAGGTTACAGAGATTCTTCTGTTCATGTAGGATGGTGAAGGTTCTCCTCAATGAAATGAATGTCAATTCAGAGGATTTCCAGGACGAATCTGTGGCTGCTATGCATCCTGATGTTAAGCTTAATCCAAACATTTCTGGTAAGTTGCTACTTATTGGTTTTGTGGTTGAATACAAAGCCTGCCTGGCCAAACTGGAAAACCGAGGAAGAGAAATAGTATATTCTGGAAAACATCTGGAGAACACTGGTACACTGCTTGAACTGTTACAGGAAAAATGTCAACCAGAGGATGTTCGTAGAGCTTACGAGGCAGAGAACAAATCATTTTTACAACCAGCCTTTAGAACACAGGACCATTCCATTGGCATGTAAAGCGTAAAATGCAAGAGTAAATTGTATGCTAATTGTTAATTTATTTATAACAAGCTTGTTTGAGCAAGACCCTCTTCATCTTGTGTATCTTGTCAACATTGTTTTGTATGTTAATTACTCGCTGTTATATATCCCCACTACTTATTTGTAAAAGAACATAGAATACATTGGCACTATACAAATGCTAATAATAATAGACCACTGACCAATTGGCATTAGAAGGGCAACCAATTTGTCTTAAAATACATTTCAACCCCTCTCCTATGTGAACTATATTAAGGTAAAAAAAATAACAGGTATATATAATAAATACGTTATATACCATAATCTTTCATTCTTTCTTTACGCATATAAACAATTGCTTTTCAATTTTTTTTGTTTCTTTTGTTTATTTACTAATTATAATTTTTTTGTTATCCCTGTAAATATTCTATAACAGGGGGGCCCCAAAGGTAGATCCCCAGATGTTTTAAAAATACAGCATCCATGATGCTTTGTCATTCTAAAGGCATTCAAAGGGATGCAAAACATCATTGGAGTTCAACATCAACAGCATCTGGGGAGCTACCTTTTGGGCACCACTGCTCTAAAATAACACTTTTGTCATGGTGAGCCACCCATGCTCAGTTGTAACCTTCTCTCTTTTTCTCCATTAATGTCTACTAAAACAATTTCTGGATATAGAATGAATGATTTGGTTTTACAGTTTCATAACTGGAAACTTTTTATTAAAGTTTACATATCTTTAGCTTGAGTACCTTGGCGACATTATTGTTCTGCCTACATATTTAAAACACTACCAAACTGCTTTGGTTTAATGAGTTTTGAACTACATAATCTCATGCAAAGATAGCAAAGTGAATAGCTTAAAATGCTTTAGGTCGCCTTACAATTCATTTTGCCTACTCCTCTTCTGTATTTTACATATCTGCAATACTTTTTTTTCACAAGCGAAGTTTGAGGAACCCATTAATAGAGATCGGAGACTTATTTTGCAGATGTGCAATGTGTGACTATTATCAATGCAGTAAAGAACTCTCCAGAGAGAGGTCCTCAGTAGCCACTGTTCTATGTACCCTGGGTGGTATCCAGATTGCTTCATTTACTGTATTTTGGAATTTCTGTGTGAAGTCCTAAGTAAAAGTTGTCAAATAATAACAGATGCAGCACCACCTATATGTACCACATATAGTAAGCTTTAAATTAATTTGACAGAAGATGGTGAAACTGCAGACCACACTAGATTTTATAACATTGCACACAAGCCCAACTGTTAAATGGGTTAACTCCCTTTAAATATTTCCCAGCAAGAAGTTGTCTGTTTGTCAGAGGTCAATATGAATTGTATTTAGATATTTTTTTAGAATCTCAATCGTTAAATAACTGATATATAACATTTACTCAATGGTTATTGACAACATATGTTTTGTTCAGAAATAAATTGAATATTGTTTTTAATAGAAAGGACAATAACACATGTTACAACATAAAATAATGTATGCAAATGAATCTAGAAAAAACATTTCCTTTAGGAAGAGATAAGTACATGAGAAGTGACTAGAAAGATACATTCTCTTTTACATTTCTGATGGTTGATTGCCATTTGTAAACTCATTTATTAACAAGATGTATCCAGTGCAGATATAGATACAAATGTTATAATCTATGTCTCTCTTGAGTGAAATATTAATGTTACGTAATGTACCTGTTGGTGACCACTAATGCATGATAACACACTGGCTCATTACTATGATACAACAGACTACAATGACATACACAACTTTGACTGGGGATCCACTAGACTTATCCAAGATGAGGAACCTAGACTTTAAAGCTACAAGTGTGCTTCTATAACTTGATGGGTATTGGGGTTGGTGTCAAGATATCTACACTTATGCATTGGATATTTTTTTTTAATCTGAATTTCACAATTGAACACATTTGGATTGCTTGAGTATTGTTAAATAATTTTGTTGAAATGCACAAATAAGTAGTATTAATTGTCATTAATATTAAACATTCACCCCTGTTTTGTTTTCTATTATATGTCTATGTATATCTTTTCCTGAAAAATGTCTTAATGAGTAATAAATGTTTCTTGTTGACAGCCAGGCTTCTAAGTAGGTTCTAAAAACTCTCTCAGTGATTTTACATTGAAAAGGAAGGAGTGAGATAAGTCTGTAGTTCTCAATACAGTCTGGATCTAGAACAATCTCTAAAGAATTTCTTAGCTCTCCGTTTTCTAAAGCATGACCCATCAGGTATTCTGTAGTCATGACTTGAACCAATGTTGCCTAATGTTGCACACAGCTTAAATTATATTATTATTTACTAAAGTTTGACTTTTTGATTTTCAATTCTTAGATCAATATAGCTGAAGTAAATAATTTACAATTTGACTATGGTGGCCTAGAATTTCAAATACACTTTGAATTGCCAGAAAATTACATTTTTGTTTTTGGCTCTCATACATATCCTATGGTTTACAATTATTTATCATTTCACAAGTTTCCTTTAAAGGGACACTATAGTCACCAAAACAACTTTAGCTTAATGAAGCAGTTTTTGGTGTGTAGATCAAGCCCCTGCAGTCTTACTGCGCAATTCTCTGCCATTAAGGAGTTAAATCACTTTTTATGCAGCCATTGTCACACCTCCCTGCATGTGACCTACACAGCCTTCCTAAACACTTCCTGTAAAGAGTCATCTAATGTTTATACTTCCTTTATTGCAAATTATTTTTCATTTCAAATTTCGTATCTCCTGTTCTGTTAATAACTTGCTAGACTCTGCAGGAGCCTCCTGTATATAATTAAAGTTCAGTTTACAGAACAGGAGATAACATATTTTAAAGTAAGTCACACCTGATTGAAAGTGAAACCATTTTGTTTTCTTGCAAGCTCTGTCAGTCACTGCTAGGGGAGGTGTGGCTAGAGCTGCATGAATAGAAACAAAAGTGATTTAACTCCTGAATGGCAGAAAATTGAGAACCAAATTGAAGCACCAAACTGCTTCATTGAGCTAAAGTCGTTTTGGTGACTATATTGTCCCTTTAATTTATATTGGTGACAATAGTGGTGCCAAAGGTAGTGTCTACAAGGCTTACATGGAGAATATAAATATTTGAATGTTAAATGTACCACAATTTTACAGTTTTTGCTCTCTGTCTCAACTAAATTTGCTTTATTTCACAAACTGATGACTATTTAATGTTGCAGTCAGAAGGCTACCCAATTAAAATTGATGGATTTGATATAAAAATGTAAATCGGTGTGTCACGTTTACAGGCACTTTATGTATGATAAGTATCTAAATTCATATATTTTGTTTTGAGACATAGTATTTTTTTTAAATGTTTTTCCAAATTTAAACAGTTTTTTGCCTGTTTGAGGTCATGCTTTGTATTTTATGTAAATTACTATTAATAAATATCCCTACTCAGTGTTTTCATCTACTGCAACCGTTATAGCTGTATGCAATATTGATGCAGAGTTACCAAATCATCTGAAAAAAATAACATATCAGATCATGTGCATATTTCATTGTCTACCAAAACATTAGATTGTCTAGAGGAGGGGTAGTCAACCTGGTCCCAACCGCCCACTAGTGGGCGGTTTGGGATTTCAGGTGGGCGGTGTGAATTCTGCAGAAAACGTCCAGTGGGCCTCGATGGCCGTGGACCTAGGCCGGCAGGGGAGATTCTTTCATCTCCCCTGCCGGCCCATGCAAATTAAGCCTTGCTGTAAGCCATCTCGGGCTGGTGAGGAGATCAAAGATCTCCCTCACCGGCCTGCTTGCTCTTAGTTCCAGCAAGGGAAAGAAAGGGCCTGGGAGACTCTGTGTTCCTCCCGCGAACAGGCTGGTCGGAGCATTGCTGCACACTACCATGGCAACACTCCGCTACAATGCTGTGCTCGCATGAGGACAAGAGAGTCAGCCTGCAGCCGGAGCACCACCAGTGCTTGCAGCATTATGTCTCCCCCTCCCTGGTAAAAGATAAGAAGAAGGGAGGAAGGGACATTAAAATAGATTTTCACATCTCACTTACCTACACACAACATAGACTATACTCCTCACACAAACAGACTGTCCCTCACACACACTACATCCCCCACACACATACTGCCCCTGCACACACACACACTACTCCCCTTACACACACACACACACACTGTCCCCCTTACACAGACTGCTCCCTCACACAGACTACCCCCTCATACACTTCACACCTCACACAGACTGCCCCCTCTAACACACACACACAGTGCCCCCTCACACCAGTGGCAGATCCAGGGTAGGAGGCAACGGGGCAATTGCCCCCAACCCTCATGCACCTGCCATCGGTTGAGCTACCTCATTAGCCTGGTCAGGTGCTGCAGCCCTTTGGCAGACTGGGCCCCTTTAAAGTTGCAGGGAGTGCTGGGAGGAAGTGACTGTTACTATCTCCCAGACTGCGAGGGCTGAGAATACAGGATGCAGCTGAGAGAGGAGGAGGAGGGAGGAGAGAGATTATTGCAGCTTAAGCATGATTAAGGCCCTCTAGGGCCATAACGTCGCACTTTTGCACTTTCAGGGGGTGTTCTACCCTCCAATAAATACACCTTCAGTACCTGGAGTTTTGCCTGTGTATTCTATTACCTTGTATCTGTGTGTGTATGTAAAGGTATGTGTGCCAGTGTGTGTATGTGCGTGTCTGTGTGTCTGTTTGTCTGTATGTGTAGGGATGTGTGTGTGTGTATCTATGTGTCTGTGTGTGTATGTGCAGGTATGTATGTGTATCTGTGTGCCAGTGTGTGTATGTCTGTATCTGTGTGTGTAGGTATGTGTGTGTGTATCTGAAGGTATATGGTTGTATATGTGTGTATGTGTCAGTGTGTTATTGTGTTTCTATATCCCTGTGTGTGGCCCATATGTGTACAGTCTCCTATCCCCTAAACTAGAGTCCCCTATTCCTCCGCTATAGCCACCAGTGCCCCTTCCGAGATTTGGTTCTGGATTGC